GTTGTTAGTTAACTATTGTAAAGCGCTTTGGATAAAAGCGCTATATAAAAAATCCTTAATTAATTAATGTTTTTTTGTTCTACAAATAAAAGCACACAACTCATATTTTAATACCAGTAGTCTTACCTTTCTAATGCGATGGATGTGCCCTCTCTCCCCTGCTGCAGCTGGGGCTGGGAAGGAGGGGGGTCTCCCCCTCCACAGCAGCCCCCGAGCTGGGGCTGGGAAGGAGTCGGGGATGGAGTCTCTCCCTCTCTCCCCTGCTGGGGCTGGGAAGGAGGGGGGATCTCTCCCCCGTTACATCAGCCACAGAGCTGAGGCTGGGAAGGAGGGCCATCTCTCCCCTGCAGCCGCAGCCCTGAAGCTGGGGAAAGTTGCCTCTTTCTGGCAGCCGCAGAACTGCATGTCCCAAGTTCCTCCCACCCCCTCTTCTCACCTCACTGCTCCCTCCCACTTACCCCCTATTCCCCCCCAAGGCCACCACCTCACCTTACAAGTGCATCTTCTCCAAGGTCCAGGCACCTAATTAGTGGAGCCACCCCTGCACGGCTCCACTAATTAAGTGGGCGGCCCTTCATTCTCTCGTGTGTGGCTGCCCAGGTGCACACCTTAGAGGGAACTATCTGCGGACCACCTGAAAGTGAGCTCGCGGACCACTGGTGGCCCGCAGACCACAATTTGAGAACCTCTGTTCTATAGCAAAGATTCTCAAACTTTTTTGGCTCAGGACCCATTTGTAAATCTTGATGGCTTGTCATGACCCAGTAAATCGTGTTAATGCAAAAAAAACTGTTTACTAAATAAATATTACACAATATATACATTAACTTAATAAGTACTAAATAAATGTATCATGTGTGCTATAATGGCAGCTCCTGCCCAATCCCTGGGCCCAGCTCCCCTCTCCGGACGTTGCAGCCTCTGGAGTCTCAGTACAGCTCAGGTTTGGACCAGCCCCTCCGCTGGACCCAATCTGTATGATTCATAGATTCCAAGGCCTGAAGGGACCATTGTGGTCATCTAGCCTGATTTCCTGTATATCACAGGTCACAGAACTTCACCAAAATAATTCTTACAGCATGTCATTTGAAAATATCCAATCTTGATTTAAAAATTGTCAATGATGGAGAGGCATTGCGACTCGGTGCATCAGGTCACGGTGCCACTCACTTAAATTTGGCCTGGTAGGCCTGCTGTCATCTCTACAGAGGGGCAGCAGGGCCAAACCTGAGCAGTGTGCATCCCCATGCACCAGGTCGCCACGCCTGTAGTGGGGAGCCAAGCCCAGCCCAGCCAGCCCACCCCACTGGAACAGAGCTGCTGCAGCTGCCACTGCAGGGTGAGTGTGGGGTGGGCTCTGCAACTACCTCACTCCCTCCAAGAGCAGGACCTGACTTTCCCCTCCCCCCACATGACCCTTTAACACATTCTGGTGATCCAGTTTTGTGTCATGTCCCATACGCAGAGAAACCCTGTTCTATAGTGATGTGCCTCACACAATAAAAATAAAACTACTGAAAATACAGTGAGAACAGTTTATTTTTGATATCCATCAAGACAGATGACTTTTGAAAGAATGCATCCTCCTGTAGAAGTAAAAGTAATAACCTCTATAGTGCTATAGTATGCAAAACAATGAAAGACTAGTTTAACAGTATTATTTTTTGTTTAGCAACAACAGTACAAAATACAGACAACCAAGGCAGTTCCTAACAGAGTTTTCACTGAACCAATGGTGAGGCATTTAATAAATTATAACGAGTTAAACACTGGTATATTACAGGACAAGATGTAATTTCCATGACAGCAAGCCATAACTCGAAAAAGAATCAAAGCAATTACTATTTTCCTTTTATTCTTCCCCTCATCCTCATCCCGACATAAGACTTATCACTACAGTAGAAATGATGAGTGAATGCATGTGGCTGCATGTGCCTGTTAGGGAGTCGGAGTACTGCCTTGTGGTTTGCTTTTAAGTGTGTAAATTACTAAGACTGAACATAATACCACTTCATACATGTGATGTATTAATAAGTTTTTCCTGAATAACAACTAAAGTAACAAAAACTTTTTATTGCTATTTATATTTTATCAATTTCCTCCCGTTTCTCCCACCCCCCACTTCCTGTAGCTTAGTTTAATCCAAAGCCTAGAAAGCCAAAGGGGAGGGAGATATCGGAGGTGAGGAAGAAAGTGAGCTTTGAAAGGAAATATGAATCTCTGCTTTCTAAAACAGCATGGGAAAGAATTGTGACTACAAATGAGTGCCCAAGGCGGAAGCAGAATCCTGATAATACTGATACAGGGCATGGTTATCAACACACCATTAAACATCAGACAAAGTCTGGTTTTATTTATGGCTTCTCTATTAGGTTCTCAACATGTTGCTCTGAGACAAGAAAGCATGTATGTGAAGTTGCAATCAGTGACTAGTGAGTGCATCATGCGTCTGACGAAGTGGGTATTCACCTACAAAAGCTTATGCTCCAATACATCTGTTAGTCTTAAAGGTGCCACAGGACTCTCTGTTGCTTTTGGTGAGTGTTAGTAAAACAACACAACAGATACATGAAAAATACAGAAAAGGCCTGGGGAGTGTGGGTAGGGATAAACCTTATTGTTGTTCTTGTAACTCCCTCATTTCTCCATCACCCCAGTTGAAACTTCTCTCATTTTCATCACTTTCTCTGACATAATTATATTTCTGTGATCCTGTTAGACGGTCTTTTACTGTTCCTCAACTAATAAATACTGCAGTACAAAACAATTAAAAACATGTGCTTAAGTAAATTCAGTTATTTAAAGTATAGCAATGCACATGATTCAACACTTCACACAACCAACCATCTGAATTGTGATTTTTCTTTAATCATAGTATTACCCACAAAAACATAGCAGGATAAAGAAAAGCATCTTGAAGATGTTTTGTTTTGGTCACTCACCCACTAACCCCAGCTATATATATAATTTCTTACACATTGTTACTTGTGCATTCATACACTTAAAAACACTCAACAGTTCATACTGGGTTATTATTGCTGAAAGCCCTTTCATTCCCAACCAAAAGTGTATGTGCCACATTAAGGGCTCCTTCCCACTGACACAGCCAAAAGGATCACAGGGGAAAACAATGTACTCAGAGTCATTTTCCACACTGGAGAGACACAGCAGGCAACAGAGCAATAAAGCGAGTGGCAGATTTATCTGCTTGCTTTATGTATCACACAGGGAAGGGGAACTGGTCTAGCAACGAGGCTAGAGTCGTTATAGCCAGCCAGCGAGCAGAGCAGAAGCACCCTATACAACACTGCATTAGCCTCACACACAGCTTTACAACAAAACAAAGTATGCAGCTGTAAAGTTTTATGCCAAGGGGTCCTCCGCCCAAGCCGTGATCTGAAGTTTGAGGGAAATGTGTTGAGAAGTTACACCTTTTTGCCGGTTGTTGTTGTTTTAAGGAGTTTCACGGGTTATAAGAAGCTTTAACTCGTTCCATCGCCCCTGCCCAAACCTGTTTGTGGGATCCCCACTTCTTTGTGCTACAGCTGTTTCCAATACACCAAAGCCTATAAACTAGCAGGATCGCTGTATCCCTCTGTCTCTTTCTCACCCACGCACAATACCAAGCACTCAAGGTCTCTTTCAACATTCCAGTTTCTACACACACAGGAACTCGTGAGCCCCCAAACTCCCGTCTCCAACCACCAACTATGTCTATTTTGTGGCTAGAGTAAACCACATGCAGGGAAGCTTGCCGCGTAAGTCGCCCCCACCCCCAGTTCTTCCCTGGTTTGCTAGTGGTGCAGCTAGGCTGCCCTCTGCCAGGACTGCAGACACATGCAATGAATGGAAACGATCCCAATTGTTTCCCAACTTACCCGCCTGCCCCTTGCAACTTCAGTGCTGCGGCTCTGCAGGCTCCCCAGGCTGGTAATCCCCGGTGCCAGGCGGCACGGAGGGCTGGGACTCCTCTCACTCCGGCTCCCCAGGCGCTGCCTTCCCCCCCCCCCCCGGCGGCCGGGCTCCCCCACCCCCCCAGTCGCACCCGGACCATTCACTGAGGCACAGGGCTGGGAGCTTAGCGCGGACCCTGCTGCTTCCCTGCAGCGGGAGGGAGGGAAGAGGCTCTGCCCTGCCCAGGACCGGCCCACTTACACTGACGTCCCCCGCTCCGCCATCGCCTCCCCCAGCCAGGGCCAGACACAGGCGCGCCTGCCGGGCTGGGGAAGGGACGGGGGGCGCAGACAGGATCAGGGAGGTGTAACGGGGCAAGGGTTTCCTAGGGGTAGAGGAAGCGATGGGGCGTATCACGGGGTAGGGGGCCTCTGGGGGCATAGGCGGGATGGGGGTGTCCTGAGCTAGAAGGGCTGAAATGGGGTGTGCGGTGACCTTGGTTAGAGAAGGTGTAATGACGGGGGTGTCCTAGTGTGGCTCGGGAGGCTAGAGAGGGGACGGGAGTGGCCTGAAGTAGAGGGGGAAGGGTGCAGTGGGGGTGCCCTAGGGTAAAGGGGGTGCATTGGGGTAGAGAGGGGATGTCCTAAAGCGGCAGAGGGGGGTAGTGAGGGGATGGGGGTGTCCTGAGGTAGTGTGTACAATAGGGGGTGAAGGGGAGATGGGGTACCCTAGAGTAAAGGGGGTGTAGTGGGGGGCGCTGAAAGGGTCAGGGGGTGTCCCAGGGTAAAGGGAGCCTGTCCAGAGGTAAAGGGGGTGTAGTGGGAGTATAAGGGGGATGGGGGTGTCCCAGGGCAAAGGGGGGACTAGTGGGGGTAGACGGGGTGGGGTGTCCCAGGGCAAAGGGGGCGTAGTAGGGGTAGGAAAGAGATGGGGGTGTCCCAGGGCAAAGGGGGGTAGTGGGGATAGAAGGGGGAGGGGGTGTCCCAGGGCAAAGGGGGCGTAGTGGGGGTGAGAGGGGGATGGGGTGTCCCGCAGAGGAATGCAGGTTCATTGGGAGGCTCAGTACGGTGGTCAGGGGAGAGAACGGCGTGGGATGCCCCAAGAGGAGCTTAAGTGTAGCGCTACCAGGAGTCCCTGGGGTCGCGGCGGGACGGCGGCGCACGGGGAGGAGCGAGCCTGGCAGACAGACACAATAAGGGTTCACAGATGGAGCCGAGAAAAAGGCTGCGCGGGGTTTCGGGACTCCCAGACTCGGCCTCGCCCACTCACTCACTAGCAACGTGCTGGCGAAGCGCTACAGCTGAAGAGAATCAGTCATGAGAGAGCTGCCTGGAGGGAGGAAATCTTCCTCCCAGAGACGGGACTTTCCGGAGAGTTCTCTCCCACCCCTCCTATCTTTCAGTGCCTATTGCAATACTTATTGCAATATTGCCTCCCTGCCAAATGCTGCTCAGAGAAGGGTGACAAATCCTAGGGGCCCAGACCTGTATGCTTACCTTGAAATAACACTGAAGGCATAAGTGTCCGACGCTCGGGCTACAGAGCACCCTCAGGCAGCAACACCAGAAGAGTCTGTAGAGCTGTACGCGGAGCCTGCTACTCCTTGGTCAGTTTTTTTTTTAAGTAACTTATAATTAAATGTTGCAAAGCATTTTGGCTACTATTATTAAGCGTTGGTTCTGGGCTCTGTATTAGAAAGGATACAGAAGACTCAGTCCCTGCCCAAATGGACAATGCGATCTTGATTACCTTTACTACGCTGCAGAATCCCACTGATATCTATGAGACTGTGTACAAGAATAAAGATATGCAGTAGTGACTGTTTGCAGGATTGCTCCTTAAGTGTGCACATAGCAACATGCTAAGCCCTTCTGGGTGTAAACAACAGTACCCCGTGCAGGGCTATCATATTTTCAAAGGATCCTCAAGCTGACCTCCATGTGTGCAATGATGACTTGCTGCACAAATGACAGAACATACCTCTGCAAAACCCAGCTGTTCTTGATTTGTGTTCTACTTCTGCAAATATATATATATTCTAGCCTTTGCCTATGATTATTCATGCACACAAGAGACTTTTATAAATATATCCCCAATGAGTGCTGAGAGAAAAAGAGAGCTATGAGCTGCCTTATGTATCTCAATATAGTGTTAACCCTGACACAGTGATGATCATTTAAATACCAACATTAGATTCATTCCTCCTCCAGTTGGCATTGTTGAGAGTTTTGCCATTGGCTTCAATGGTAGCAAGATCAGGTCTAATATTAGCCATTTCACTGCTGATCAGGTTGGCACAAAACTAATTATTTCTTAACCTTTTTTGTAACGAAATTTTACACCCACCATACAGAGAATACACGGTTGACATGCTACTATAGTTATAATAGCTAAAGGAGCACTCAAAGCCGATAAGGCCATTATGGAGAAACTAAATGAATTCTTTGTATCAGTCTTCACTGTTGAAGATGTGAGGGAGATTCCCAAACGTGAGCCTTTCTTTTTGGGTGACAGATCTGAGGAACTGTCCCAAATTGAGGTGTCATTAGAGGAAGTTTTGGAACAAATTGATAAACTAAACAGTAATCAGTCTCCAGGACCTGATGGTATTCAGCCAAGAGTTCTGAAGGAACTCAAATGTGAAATTGCAGGACTACTAACTGTAGTCTGTAACCTATCATTTAAATCAGCTTCTGTACCAAATAACTGGAGGATAGCTAATGTGACACCAATTTTTAAAAAGGACTCCAGAGGTGACCCTGGCAACTGCAGACCAGTAAGCCTCACTTCAGTACCAGGCAAATTGGTTGAAACTATTGTAAAGAACAAAATTGTCAGACTCATAGATGAACATAATTTGTTGGGAAATAGTCAACATGGTTTTTGTAATGGGAAATCATGCCTCACCAATCTACTAGAATTTTTTGAGGGGGTCAACAAGCATGTGGACAAGGAGATCCAGTGGATATAGGTGTATTTAGATTTTCAGAAAGCTTTTGACAAGGTCCCTTACCAAAGACTCTTAAGCAAAATAAGCAGTGATGGGATAAGGGGGAAGGTTCTCTCATGGATTGGTAACTCATGGATTGGTAATCTAAAAAAGATTAAAAGATAGGAAACAAAGGGTAGGAATAAATGGTCAGTTTTCAGAATGGAGAGAAGTAAATAGTGGTATCCCCCAGGGATCGGTACTGGGCCCAGTCCTATTTAACATATTAATAAACGATCTGGAAGAAGGGGTAAATAATGAGGTGGCAAAATTTGCAGATGATACAAAACTACTCAAGATAGTTATGTCCCAAGCAGACAGTGAAGAGCTACAAAAGGATCTCACAAAACTGGGTGACTGGGCAACAAAATGGCAGATGAAATTTAATGTTGATAAATGAAAAAAATACACATTGGAAAACATAAACCTAACTATACATATACAAAAAGAACAGGAGTACTTGTGGCACCTTAGAGACTAACAAATTTATTTGAGCATAAGCTTTCATGTACATCTGATGAAGTGGGTTGTAGCGCACGAAAGCTTATGCTCAAATAAATTTGTTAGTCTCTAAGGTGTGATAAGTACTCCGCTTCCTTTTGCGGATACAGACTAATATGGCTGCTACTCTGAAATCTATACATATACAATGATGGGATCTAAATTAGGTGTTACCACTCAAGAAAGATCTTGGAGTCATTGTGGATAGTTCTCTAAAATCATCCACTCAATGTGCAGCGGCAGTCAAAAAAGCGAACAGAATGTTGGGAATCATAAGAAAGGGATAGATAATAAGACAGAAAAAATATTGCCTCTATATAAATCCAAGGTACGCCCACACCTTGAATACTGCGTGCAGATGTCATCCCATCTCAAAAAAGATATATTGGAATTGGAAAAGGTTCAGAAAAGGGCAACAAAAATGATTAGGGGTATGGAACGGCTTCCGTATGAGGAGAGATT